TCGCTGTCTTTGAGGCTTTTCAGCCAATGGTGCCCGCCACATGCTTCGAAGGTTCTAAGACGGTACGAGGCAACCTTGCACTGACGTCGGGTGTGATAGTGAACCGCGAGAAGTGCCCCAACCTAATCAACCCCAAGAGGCGGCTATGCAGGGTCTTGGAGGGGACCGAGTATCTCTCCAGATCTTCAGGGAAGCCATGGGGAGGCGATGGAATAACCGGCCTATCATGTCGAGCCATCATTGCGCGTGGGTGTAGCGTGGGTGTAGCGTGGATGTAGCGTGCCTGGTGTTGAGGTTGGGTGGTTGAGGTCCGTTGTTGAAGCGTGAGCCAATCAGAGGGGGCGAGGAAGGGCGTGCCAGAACTACTGATGGAAATGCAGGAACGTGGTCAGCTCTTGAACACATGAGCGAGGTGCAATACCCTCGGCCCTGTTTCCCTTTCTGCAAGTCACTTTGTATTATCTAGCCCTTGACGATCCGGACCGTGTCGGCATTTGCAGACTCTGCGCAGTCGTCAGCAAAGTGCTGATCGGCCCATCACCTACAAAGAGTGCCACCGGCCAAAGAGAAGCATGCGGACTGTACATTGGTATCAGACAGCCGGAAAGACTGTTGACAGAGAAACGTGTAGATGGTCAATATCATGGTGCTACATGGCTGCAAAGTGCTGTTGCAACAGGAAAATGGACTCACAGGTAGCGCAGCGCAACACAAGTTGTGATGACTAGTAAGCCTGTAATTCGTTTCCCACCCGTTTTCTTGCCGGGATCACCCTTCTGTGCCGTTGAAGCTCGACGGTAAAGTGCCGAGAGGGGCATCTGTAGTCCATAGCGAACTGTTTGGGGTTGGGGGCAAGTGATGGAAGTGGAGGCAACTTCGTTACTGCTATGCTTGGCCATGTGATATGCGCCGCATTGACAGATACGGTCACACTAGACTCTTGATCGGTATTGTCTTGGAAATGAACACACGTTGCAATGGATGCCCCTCCTTCATGCTGTTGTGTCGCATCTCCACATAGCTGATGGTAAGCATAGTATATAGTCAAAGATATAACCTTTGTTCATTCATGTTCGTCATTTCGGCAGTGGTACTACGATGAAGGTCTAAGTATTATTACAAGCCGGGTACAAGAACACATGCCTGCAAGCAGCAAAGCCACCACCATCTGACCGCACCTTATGCGTAGAAGTTGACCGTGTCCTTCTTCTTCGCCTGCACTTCAGCAATAGCATCCACATAATGCTCATGGCTGATCTTCTGGTGACCAGTTCGGAGAGCAATCATGCCAGCTTCGACACATACGGCCTTCAGCTGAGCTCCACCAAACTCATCGGTACTGCGTGCCAACTCTTGCCAGTTGACACCATCGTCGACGGTCATTTTCCTTGAGTGAATGCGCATGATCTGTGCGCGAGCCTCCTCGTTTGGCAGCGGGAACTCAATCTTCCTGTCCAGACGGCCAGAACGGAGCAGGGCGGGATCCAAGACATCGACTCGGTTGGTGGCGGCCAAGACCTTCACGCGGTCATCCGAGGCAAAACCATCCAGCTGGTTGAGAAGCTCCAACATCGTTCGTTGCACTTCTCTGTCTCCGGACTTTTCGGAATCGAAACGCTTTGTGCCGACGGCGTCCAACTCATCAATGAAAATAATTGACGGCGCCTTTTCTTTCGCTAGAGCGAAGCAGTCTCGGACCAGCTTAGCGCCGTCACCTATGAACATTTGTACAAGTTGTGGGCCGGCAAGCTTGAGGAACGTAGCGTCGGTTTGCGCAGCGCACGCTCGTGCAAGAAGCGTCTTTCCAGTACCCGGAGGGCCGTACATCAATGCACCTATCCCTTGTTAGCCACTGTCCTTAGGCACTCGAGCATTATGCTTACCCTTGGGAGCCTTGATGCCGATCTTCTTGAATCGTTCCGCCTCCTTCATTGGCCAGACTACCGCCTCTACAAGCTCCTCAATCTGCTTGTCCAAGCCTCCGACATCAGTGTACTTTTCCGTTGGCTTCTCGTCGACTTCCATGGCCTTGACTCGGCTGTCGTACTCTGCCGGCAGTGTGTCTAGAACAAGGTAAGAGTCCTTGTTTACACCAATCAAGTCTCCGGGTTTGAGCTTCTCATGATCGACAAGGCCGATGAGGGGCAGGAATATTGTCTGTCGCGTAGATGTCTTGATGACGGCCGACTTGCCAACACGGGTGGCGTCTAGGTCAATGTTTGCACCTTCCTCGGCGGCCTCCGCTGTGACATCGAGATCGAGGATTTCGACGACGTTTCCGACAAGATAGGGTAGTTGCCTGTAGCATGTCAACATATCGCCCTGAAGATGGCGGTTGGTAAACACGCTGCGGGGCCGGTCGCCGGCAGCGAGATGGCGTACCTGTTGTTTTCAATCTTGTCTAGGTTGTCCTTGATCTTCTCATTCATCGATGCTTTCTCATGTGTGAGCCGCTGGAACTCGCTCTTCATGATGCGCATGTCGTTCTCCAGTAACCGCCTCCGCGCAATGATGTCTCGTGTACTTGAGTTTAGGATCTCCTCGTCGAGCTGCTCCTCCTCTGGCTCCGCATCCTTCATGTCCGCATCGCCGTCAGCCTTCTTTCCGTCCTTGCCGCTGTCTTTCTTGTCATCGTCCTTTCTCTCTTCCTTCTCGTGGCGCTCAAGATCATCGAGATCCTCGAGTGTGGACATGGTGGCGGTCTAGCGTAAGTGATTGTATGTGAAAACTAGTCAACCAAGACAAGTGGTACTATATCCCGGCAATCGTAAGTAAAACCCGCAGGTGGGTGATTGAAGATAGTGCAGCGTTGATGAGGCTCTGTTTGTGAGGCAGCTATGGATTACGAAGGTGAGAGCTCCCGCGATTACTTAGCTCCGCTCCGACTCTTGGCGTCACCGCCCCGAGACGCCGATCAGTCGCGTTCAACACCAACGTAATGGGAGCGACCATCAACCTGTCACTGACGTTTTTCACAACAGACAAGACCATTTCTGCTCTAGTCACTGTACATACTTGCTTTGTTGAAGGTTTTAGATATCCAGACTGGCTTTCATTTTGGAATGATGACTATACGCAGGTACGGTCTGCTAAGCTTCTGCACTCCAAGATTATGGATGTAATTTTTGAAACCCAATGGAATAGTGCATGCGACTAGGAAACTTGAGAACAAATTCTCTTTCACCATCCATCAAGATTCGTGATTCTGTGTTGAGGTCGATGAAGTGGTGTTTGCTGTCAGCTACCTTTTCCAGACATTGCAACTTCTTCACCACAGCACCCGCTTTCTTTAGGTGATTCCTTTACTTTCACTCAATGAATATGGCACTAAGAAAATGAGTGGATGCCTAGCCTAACCGAGTTGAGTAGCACAGCACTGGGTAACACAATTCTACAGCAATTACGATGAATTTTCAACCATCAAGACATCCTTTTCCCCATAGAGTCCGACTACAAAGATCTCCACCGATGCTTCTCAATCGTTTGGCCTATCGCATACCCCTGATCCCACGTATCTGCATCAGAATGACATCCACCATCGTGGGTAAATCAGGTCGGGTGTACGCTCAGCGCGAGGTGCTCGCGGATCGCAAAGATCCTAGACTCAGTGTCTTCAAAGCCGAGTACGCCATAAAACTCTCACCTATAGAATTTATTTTGACAGAAGTAGTTTTGGATCCCATGGCCAGTCTTTTATTTCCATGCGAGTAGCCAAACCATTCTACGACCTGTCATTACGCCTTGCAGCTGACTTCCCCGAGTCCCGTCGGCTTCGCATGCATGCTGATTCAAGCGAAGAAGAGAACGTCCTAATCTATCCCTTTTGTCAACAAACCCTGCATGGACTGCTCTGAGACGATCCAGCAATCTCAGGTGCAGCACAGAAGAAAATTTTGCAAGAGACAGGAGAAGCAATACAAGAACTACATGGCAAGAACTGGCTCCACATGGGTACGCTCAGCAGTTCAAATCAATCTACAACCACAGTATCCCAATTGACAATCGATCTTGACAGACATCAAGCCCGATAATATACTGGTCAACTGGACTTGCGACGAAGAGGGTACCAAGACAATCACTGACGTCGCTTTAGGCGACTTTGATATCGCCTTTAGGTTCGATAAGGGAGCACTGCTTTATAAAACTCGTGCAGTAGGAAACGCCATGTAACGCAGTCCAGGAGGGCAGACTGGGAGAGGTTTGTCTAAGGCTTCAGACGTTTACTCATTCGGACTGGTTGTGAGTTGCTTTCCACCGTTTTCGTGGCTATCATTGAAGGAACTCGTGCTAAGTGTTCGTGCAGTGCATATATACCCTCGGGGGTAGGGAACCGCGACTCATCAACGATTATCCAGAGCTCGCCAAGCTCGGTACAAGCCCCCAGCAAGCAGTAGTGACGCGACACTTCTCGTATTTCGGACCAGCGAACCAGGGTCTGCTCAACGTCATTAGTTGCGAGAAATGGATAAAAGCTCTTAGAATATTATCTAAAGAGACTGATTTGTTTGTGCAAGACCATCCAGGCATGAGCTTCGAGGTGTGGGGGCATGCATTCGGTTCTGGGGCACAGAAGATGATGTCTGAAATGACGAAGATTGATCCAAGGGCCAGGCCAACGATAAATCAGGTTATGGAGCATCTGTTGTGGAAGGAGGCCATTTTGACGGACAGATGAGGTGGCGGGGAGGCTTCATGCATGTGCCATTTGAGAGCGGGTAATATCATGACTGCAGCCTATAAGCGATTACTATGAGAAGACAGCCCAGCTCTACTGCGCCACGCAGCTCCCAAAGGTACAGTATACTGCATAAGCGGTATCCGGAGCTGAATAGCTATCTAAACGTGACAGATTAGCAGCTGATTGAACTACTGCTGCCTAATACCATCCCTTCTCCGATAACCTTTCCCCCTAGCCTTGCTTTGGAGTGGCTATTCAATCTCTAGAAGTCTGACGCTGTGACGTCTCTTGCGCAACATATCCACGGTAAATTCTGTGTATGATGGCGCCGTTGAGGCTTCTCGCCCTAGGAAAGCACCTTTCATGTCGATAATGTCCCTGCAGCCTTGCTGACAACGCTATACAGATGGAGGTGGGGTGCGCGGCCTCGTTAGCCTTCTCATGCTTAGAAGGCTCATGTACTTGATAACCCTCAGCATCCGCCGAAGCCTTGCGATGTTTTCGATATGATCGTGGGAACAAGCACCGGTGGTCTTATTGCTATAATGCTTGGGCGGCTCGTACGTGGAACCTGGACCATATCTGATTACGATTCATATATATATAGGAGATGGATGTGGAAGCAGCAATAGACGCATACAAACGGCTCTCGAAGCGTGTATTCACTCCAAGAAAACGAACATGTATCGGAGGCACAATTGTCCACAAGATGCTGGGATCAGAGACTTTTGACCATAAGGTTTTGGAGAAAGTCATTAAGGAGATTGTCTCAGCACGTCTGGGCTCGGATACGGACGGTGGAAGTGTGAAGTTGTATGAAGACAGACCAAAATGTCCTATGTGTGTAGAATCCGATCCAACAAGATCATATGAGAATGCTGACTTATTATCCCTCTCCAGTTTCGTATGTGCCACAATGGTCAACGGTGGCATACAGCGCTTACGGAGCTATCCATCTACGGCTGAGGAACCATTTGACTGTACAATCTGGGAGGCTGCCAGAGCTACCTCTGCTGCCCCAACTTTCTTTGCGCCAATTAAATTTCCGAATGGGATGGATTTCCGCGATGGTGGGCTTGGTGCGAACAATCCAATATTTGAGCTCATCAACGAAGTCCGGAAGGAATACCCCACCAGAGACATATCTATAATTGTGAGCTTAGGAACAGGTGTATCATCATCCATGAAACTTGGTCGTGGATTAATTTCGGTTGCGGAAGCATGCTCCGAAATAGCAACGAATACGGAGGAAACGGCAGAGTCTTTTGCAGCGCAGTATTACCATCAACAGGGTATATATCGCCATAAATACTTCCGTTTCAATCCGACCAATGGTCTCCAGGGAGTAGGTTTGGATGAGTGGAAAAAAGAGGATGATATGATGGCAAACACACTCACATACCTCAGAACGACGGCTCAGGAAGATATGTTAGAGAGATGTAAAAGAAGCCTCTTAGAAGAGAACATTAGGTAGGATTTCAATTGCATTTTTCTAATAATCTGCGCAATAAAGAGGCTGACACCGAGTTAGCCTCAACATCCCTCAAGCTCCTCTGAACAATTATCAAAGTCTGGTTCACGTAATGCCACAGAGATCATCCAAAACAGGTTTTGGGTTTTATCAGCCTGAACATATTCGAAAGCATCCAATCAGTAACTTCGCACCCAGAGAAGAAATGTTGAGTATTGAAAGTGCTCTTGGATCCACATTCTCGGATTCACTCAGACCTAAAATCATATCCATTGTGGGATTTGGCGGTTCCGGAAAGACACAGTTGATGCTGCAGTACGCCTGGACGCATCGAGACACATATGGAGTTGTCCTTTGGATTGATGCACAGTCATTGGACTTCCTGAATGACACGTTCTCTCTTGCTGCAGAGCAGCTCGGTCTTGTCCTACCTCGTACTTGGGTATCAAACTCCAGGACTACAACTACTGTTGCCCCATTCATACCAAAGCTTCAAAGGAATGTTGATGCAATTCAGAAGGAGTTGAGGAGAAGGAACCAGAAATGGCTCATTCTGATAGATCGTGCTGATGAGATCCACATGATTGATCAATTGCCAAAGTATTTCCCTTCTGCTCCAGGTGGATATATAATTGTTTCTTCCAGACGACAAGAGGCAGAGAGACTTGGTGGCCATGCAATAAAACTGAAAGGTCTTCCCTTGGATAGCGCTCAGCAGCTTCTGATCCACCATGTTTTCGGCACATCCACAGACTTGGACCAGGGAGAGCAGTTTGAACAAGCAAAACAGGTGGTGGAGACATTAGATTGCATTCCTCTGGCGATTGACCTCGCTGGCACGTAAGTCTATAGAGCCCTGAAACAGTTCTTTCACACTTATAAACTTTCAACATAGATACATCAAGAATAAACTTGGGGGTCGAATAGATACCTATGTAAAGCTGTACGAATGTCAAAAGTACGAGTTGGTCGAACATGCTCTTGGGCGAAACCATCCAATCGCTCAAGACTATTCCGCCTCTGTCCTCGCGACTTGGAGGGTTTCAATCAACGCGATCGCCAAAGAATATCCTGGGGCAGCAAAGTTCCTTTACCTTCTGTGCTTCCTCGATCCTTCAAACTTGAGAAAAGATCTGTTCAAGAGGGCTTGTTCTCCCAAGCTCTATTTGAATCGCGAAGGCTCAATCGATGTACTTTATCCATGGATGAATCGCGTCCCTGACTGGCTCCTGAGGCTCTTCTGTGGCCCAAATGGCCACTGGAATGACTTGCAATTTTTCGATACTATTGGGATCATATCAGCTTTGTTCTTCATCGAGTGCAAAGATCTCATTGGTACTTGGGTTCACTCTTCTGGGGAAGTGGAGGGCACAACTTTAACATCGGACGGAAGCTCCGTTACCTTACTCGAATTACCGCAACCGCTTCACCACTTGGGAAGATGCTTTCACGACGATAAATCAAGAGAAGAATTCATCCATGACGCATTCTCTGTGGCGATTCACAGCTTTCAGAACGATATCGAGCGTGACGGAAATTATTCAAACATCGGGCGGACGCCTATGATGTATATTGGATTTTGAGGGGCCATAGATAACCGCAAAAAGATGGAAAGACAGCTCGATGAGGTCTATGAGCATTTCAGGGCTCTCCAATCCAAATCAGATAGTTCCTGGACCATTTTCGACTATGAGATCCCTGTTCGGCGACGATGCGAGGCTATAATGTTTGCAAGTATATTCTGGCCACGGTTTTTCTCTCAATCCCGCTTCGCAACATCACCGGAGCCGTTCGAATGGAAGCTGCCAAGCTGGGGAGCAATCCTGACTATCGCAGAGTCAGTGTTACTGAAAACTGGGCGGAGAACTCAAAGAAGTCCATTTCCAAGTTTGAATGGACAAAAGTTTCGACGTCCAAGTCGAAGTTCAAGCGCAATTCCAAGTTCAAGCGCAAGCCCGAGCCCGAGCCGAAGCTCAAGCCCGAGTCCAAGTCGACATACTGCTCGACGTACTGCTCGAAATATCGGTCAACTTCTAACTCAACGTACAGGTCTACTTCCGCAGGGAGAGCAGTACTCTAATCTTGACTGGGATGAGAAAGATCATGTGGATGAAAACACTGGTCCTTACGACAATGATATAAAAGATTCCGTAAGCGATTACTATTGTCCTGATAGCGATGATGAGTTTCGTATCGAATGGAATAGGAGGCGTCTCTTAGATCACAACAAGGTTTCTATCTTAGAGATCAAAGAGCTTCAAATCTCTATAGAGATTTCAGAACGCCAATCGCCCTTTAAGAATGAAGGGCTCGATATCCCACCTCAACACCATGGTCTCGGACTCCCGAAAATACACATGGTGGCAATGATGGCCGAAAAAATGTGGGTTACCCAGGGGCGTAGACCCAACTACGAAGGATGGAAGGCAGTCTCAGATGGCATTAAGAGACAACTCCGCCAAAGGATGGTAGAGGAACTGGTGTTTCAACGATGGCTTGGAAGCCAAGTGGGTAAACATTTCCGCCAAAGGATTGAAGCTCTTGAAAATGAGTTCGATCAGCAGACATGTTAGCCTCTACTATAATACTAGCGTCGCTAGCTAATACATGACCGCTTGGCCATCTCCGGCTAAGGCTAACAGCAACCGCAAGATGCGAGGACCTAAGCTGGATCCTCTCAATACAAGATAGCCCCTACAAGGTAGCTTAGGGGTGAATGTGTAGTTTGTCGTAGTGCGGTACTTTATATCCACTACTCTCAGTCTACCGGCAAATCGGAGCCTGGGGTGAAAGCGGCCCCCACCAAAACAGCGTAGCATCAACGGGATGCATCCCGCAGTCCCATCATACACAATGCGCTCAATAGGTGTGGTGAGAAAATAGATTCACATGAATGCAGAACTATCCTATAGATGTTGAATTAACTGTGTTATGGTGGGTGGCTTGTTGTGAGCGGCGGCTTTGTTGGTGGGGTCTTGGCAAAGGCTGTTCCTGCAATGTTCTCCAGAAATATTTTGATTTTCGAAGATACGTATGATGCACATATTCTGAGCACTGCTAGTGGATCTGAAGAGCGTCGCAGACAAGCAGACCTTGCTTGATTTGATGTCGAGCGCGGACGCCATCATCCAGGCATTCTAACTTCGCTCTTTAAAGTGTAAAGGATTTAGGTTGTATAATCTAGTTAAGACGTCGAGAGAACGTAATAAAAGTATCGTCGATCTTAACCTAAACGCATACGGTCCGGATAGCTATTACGCTAAATGCCTAGGCTTCTAGCAGATTACTAATACTATATCTAGTTGTTCTTATGTTCTCGGAAAGGCCTATAGGTTTGACGAGGGTATCAGCGTAATTCCTTCTTTGCCTATTGCCAACATGCTTGCTGGGGCGGTGGGTGTGCTCGGTGTGCTCTTAGCACTCCGTGACCGGACTGCTAAAGGTGGCTCATACCACCCTGTTTCTGTACTAATAGCTGTCAATGCCATCCAACTGGAGGAGTCATTTGGTCTATATTCCCCAGAGACTGTAAAATAAATCCATGACAAATACCAATTCCGACCCATGATACCGGATCTACAAGTAAAAGATCACCTTTACATTGTAGCAGAAGCCTGGACGAAACACCTTTCTAATTTACTGCGGCACGATGGTTACATGGCCACCTTTGACGAGACAGTATTTGGAGGAAATCATACCATATCGTCCCCGATCATTCAGTTCGACAAAAGTAACGTCAATTCTCGGTAGACCCATGGCCTTATTGCCCACTGCATGTCAAAATCTGTAACGTGTTCTTGAATAAACTTGAGTCTTTTCACTGACAGGGGCGTGATCGAGACATTAGATATTTTAAATATGTAATATAAGTTCTTAATTGCACATAGATTGGAATTGTTGGCAATATCCTATTGCAATCGTAATACCTACGGATGAACGTATTTCTTGCAGAATGAAGGCGAGGAGATCGAATTCGCGATAGGTTGGGATGCCCTCGAGATCCATGAAAGAACCTTTAGCCCGTTTGAGCGCAAATCCCATATATTCAAAGCAAACCACGGTTGTAAGAATCGGCCGGCGATATGGAATCAATCTTCTTCTTACCCTATATAATTCAGACAACAAGATGGCAAAGGAAATCATCCTCTAAGATACAAGGGTAATGCCGGTGATAGAACGGTTCTCATCATGGAATACGACAGTTTTGTTGCTTCCGTCCTCCGCAAACGACTAGATTGTCCCTTCTATATCAGCAACATACCATATTCTGCTGTTAGTGTCGAAGCATAGTCCTATGGCCTCATTAAAATGTTCAACGAGGACCTTGTGATTTAATCCGATCGTTGGTGTGAACTTATTAAGGCTACTACATGTACCGGTATTATCTAGCACTATCCTGTTGAATGTGTTACCATATGGAACTTCACCGTGGTCGGTCCAGTAGAGTGTGTTCGTCGAGTCGTTAAAATGAAGGTCGATCGGTTCTGGAAGATGATCCAAAAAAAGCGTTAGCTCTTTGTTGTCGCCTTCAATCGGCGCACAGAATATCCTGCCAGTGGCCGACTTGGAGTAGCCTTTCTGTGTCCAATAAAAGAGACCTGACCGGTGGCATATGGTGATCCCGACACACCATCTAGTCTGGTCGCGGGCGTGCGTCGTGTCATTAGAATCTCCAGTTTTTATTAGAGTCTCCAGATCAGAGCCGTCTAAATTACAGCGCATGACTCGTAGACCTTCTCTATCGCAAATATACAGCTTGTCACTGACTTCGTCGAAGGCGAGCTGTTTTGGCGTGTGTATTTGACCCGGAGAAAGCACCGTGCAAGGATCTGATCCATCAACGGAGACTGAAGAGACACTTCCATCGTTGAGGTGCGGTGTTCCCATATTTGTAAAGTACAGATGCCTGTCCTTGCTATGATATACAACGCCATCGGGTAGCTTGACGTAGTTTTGATCTTTGATCAAGACTGTTGGCTGACTGCTTGTTCGAGCCTTGCAGTAGGAAAATGAGCACTTCCCCATGCGTAATGATGTCTGAGAAGGACTGTCCTCGAAGAGATCTGGACAAGCTAATATCAAGGGCAACAAGAGATTTAGTGACAGACATTGCAATAGAACTTAGAGTGATCAACGTTCAACTGGGCTCAGAACAAATTACTAGAGCAGAGATATTTAAGTAGGACATGGACAAACCTGTGCAGTGGTAATTACGTTTATCGGTGGGAGAAGATGTATTCGGGTCGACCATGTTGTGACATCGGGCGATCCCTCGGCCGATACCAATTGAGCGAATCGGAAATGCGCAGATTCGACTAGGTTCCTGTTCCCGGACGCTGAATGGTACACGCCACTACTAGCTTCCGGTTAGTACAGCTTTAGTCTAGTAGCCCGTTATGTGGATGAAAGATCTTCGTGCGAGGCAGCAAAGCTGTGCATAATAAAAATACACTGCTTTAGGAGCCGGACCCATGGATTTTAACTCGGCCGAGTTCTTTAGTGCAAAGTAGATCCTATTCAATAAACGCAACGGGAAAGCCAAATAGTGGAAAATGTTTATGCCAAAGAAGTACTTAACTAAGGCTATGGATCCTTGCGTGGCACAATAACGTGTCGTACATCTTCCTGCTCATTACTACTCTTCTTGTTACCATGGCATATCATCCACCCAACAATTACCGTTCTCGACTAGTTGCAATATTAGGAGCGGGTGTGTTAGGCTGCCGGATTGGTATGGGGTACCCCTGGAACACTATCAACTCTCCTGCTAAGATAATACAGCGTGTACATGAGCTGCCGCAGGCTACAACGTTCACGTCCGTGATCCTAGCCCAGAACAGCGTAACCAATGTCTGCAGTATGCTGCAGAGTGTGTTTCGACCTACCAGACCATGACTGGATCCAGTGTCACAGGAGAAGTCAGAGTCTTCGAAGAGTTTGAGCCCGCAGTAAGCGAGGCGTGGCTGGTGATCGAGGCTATTCCCGAGAAACTTGACCTCAAAGTCTCAACCTTCGCCTTACTAGAGAGGAGTGCGCCGCAGGATGCTCTGCTTGCCAGTAACTCATCTTCATACAAATCGTCGGAGATTGTCGTCCAACTCTCTGATTTCGCTAAACAACGGGCTTTTAACATGCATTATTACATGCCACCCGCAAACATGATTGTAGAGCTCATGACGGATCAAGCCACTGCACCAGAGATATTCGAATTCTTATCTACAAGATTAAGGGAAACGGCGGCACAACCGTATATCGCAAGAAAAGAGTCAACTGGATCTATCTTCAATCGGCTGTGGGCTGCTGTTAAGAGAGAGATTCTCATGATCATCTCTGAAGGTGTGAGTGAACCAGAAGAAATTGACAGCATATGAACGGAAGCCTTTATCAAGACGAAAATGGCACCGTGCAAAACAATTGATCAGGTGGGCTTGGACACCGTTGCGTTGATTGAAGGTCACTATGTCGCCGAGAGAGGGTTGCCATCATCTCATGTAGATTTCCTCAAAGCTGAGTATCTCGACAAGGGCAAGCTTGGAAACAAGAGCGCTAAAGGAGGGCTCTTTCCGAAGTGATTCTCGTGGTGTAAGAAATGAATAAGTCTATGTCTAATAATGGAATTAAAGTCTAGATATAAGAGGCCAAAGTGTCTAGTTATACTATAAGCTTTAAAGATATTTTATTAATGTTACTATATATATTCTTATAACAGACTATCGTATTCTTTTTTTATAGCTTTTATAATTATTTATCGTAACTTTGTAATATATGAATATATAATAACGTAAAGCTAGACTGGTCAATGGGTACCCCGCTACCCAGAGGTAGGGGTAACGTGTTCTATCAGTAAGCTGCGCACATCAGTAAGCTGCGCACATCAGTAAGCTGCGCACCCCACCAAACTTGACGCGACACTCTACGCAATTGCTCTACAACAACGCAATAATATTAGATAGAAATAAGAGATATTATTCTTTAGATAGCTCTACATGAAGTCCGAGTATGTCCTTGAGTATAGCATTTCGTACACGTTGGCGGCGCGCGCTGGCGTCTCTCACTAGCCTGGCTCTGGCTGGCCTCCATGACCATCCTTTCTGCCTCTACAGTAAGCTGCTGAGCCCGCTGCACCTGGAGTACCCCACTAGAAGCAATATATTGACGCTGGTGACTCTGCTTTTGTCGTTGACGCTGGACTTCTGCACGTAGCTTCTTATTCTCCTCCGCGAGTATTGTCGCTGATTGCATTGCAAGCTGAGCGCTTTTAGCAAGCTGGCGTATCGCAACGCTTGTTGGGCTCTCTGATTTCCGGCGTAGCCGCTCTTGGAGATAGCGTACCTGCTGCTGAAGCTCTGCTACTGTATGTGGCGTCTCTGTCTGCGCTGCTGCTGTCTGCGCAGCGGCGTTATTGTCTGTGGTTATCTGTAGCGGAGACGGTGTTCTAGCTACAGTAAGCGACGATAGAACGCGATCTGGATAAGGAGGAATAAGCCCTGTTGCTTGAAAGCCTGCCTGGATATTCTGCTGTGTGAAAACTGTCGGCCGGATCCGTGTATAGGCTGTAAGGAAGTCTATCTTGTCAACGTGGTAGACCCTATGGCGGGTGAGCTCCTCAACCTCGCGTCCGTACGCGCGCTTAAGAGGAGAGTAGCAGCTTACATCTAGAGGCTGGAGAAGGTGCGACGTATGAGGCGGGATACAGAGAGTGATAATCTTGTTCTCAGCGCAGTACTGGTCAAACTCTGGCGTGGCGTGGCTACTATGGCCGTCTAGAATAAGCAGCCGATAGACTCCAGCTGTACGAGCAGCTGTATGCTGATTGAAGTGCTTCACCCACTCTACGCCAAGCTGATCAGTCGTCCAGCCGTTGTCTGATACTGCGACAGTCTAGTCTTGTGGGAGGTCACGGTACCAGCTGCTCTGGTGGACCTTACCAGACAGTATCATGAACGGTGGAAGACACCAGCTAGACGCGTTGACGCACTCGATAGCTGTTACCCACTCGCGATTGCCTGGCTGTACGACGACTGCTCTACTAACTCTGTTAGAGCTAGTCACGACTTTTGACGTGCTAGCGACGCCTATCGCGAATCCAGTCTCATTAAAGTTATAGATGTCTTGATCTAGAACGCCGTACGTCTGGCGCGTCTCCTCTACTAGCTTAAACCACGCTGTAATTACGATAGGATCCTCGGAGCTAGCGCGCTGGCTACTAAGCCTTCTACTCCACTTTGTCTGAAGCTCTGGATGGTTCTAGATAAAGCGCGATACCCAGCATTTGCCTATAGGTGCTGGAGGTGGATCTTGACCACGCGCGGCGAGTAGAGTATCTGCCATACGTCGTACGTTAATAATATGGGGCGGAAATCCTCGTCGATTAAGGTCTAGGATCCACTGCACGAGAGAATGCTCTTCAATAGGCGATAGCCTACGCCTAGTAGATACTATCTCTGATCGTGGCTGGACGCCATGGAGACGCGTTCGAAGAGTAGATTCTGGTACATCATAAGCTTTCGCAAGGGCGCGGAGAGATTGTTTTTTATTATTATAATAGGATGCGATAGCAAGGCTTATTCTGCCTTCACGAGAAGTCTGTATAGAGCGTTGTTGTCGCGGCATTGTGGTAGTTGTGTAGAGTGTCGCGTTAAGTTTGGTGGGGTGCGCAGCTTACTGATAGAACACGTTAGGGGTTGGGGTCTTACATAATCACTACCCTACCCTACCCCTACCCAACCTCTACCCAAATACCAGTCTAGATTAGAAGGGGTACACTCTATGGGACAAACCGGAGCTTATGATTAAGGCTAGGCATGTTCAGAGATGATTATGAAAACCTAGATTAGAAGAACATATATTCTCGGAATAGTTACTTCATCCTAGACACAACCCCATCTAGCCTAGCGTGGGTAGCCAAGCCACCTTTGAACTCTCCTGGCCACCCACGCTAGAGCCGATCGATCCTCAGCGGTGAAGGCCTTTTTGATCTCTACTTCACCCTAGACTAAATAAGGTTGTGTCTAGGATAGAGTGGAGGTCACCAGCCAAGAAGCAAGCGCATCCGGTACGGACCGTACTAGCCCGCCGGAAATAGGCTATCATTCTTGTACCAGTAACTATATGTGATGCAGCATGTTTAATTGTAGAGATCTAACTACTAAATAAGTCTGCCTAAAACATTTTCATATTCATATTCAATTCGTGAGCATGGACACTAGCCATAGGGACAATGTGCCGCTATTCTATTCCAGGCTTGGAACGCAACACAGTGATGACAGCCTCAACGTTAACCTAGAGCATCTCGAGTGGCGCATGTGTCTGATGCCAGCAAGCGGCTCCAACGCGGATAACAAAATGCTACTATTGCACAGCATGCACAAACCAAGTTCACACAATCCTCACCTACCTAACATTATTGCTATAACCCTCGAGCGTGTGCACACACATCCTACTGCTCGCATCCCAGATCTTGATAGCCTTGTTACTAGACCTTGACGCTAGCCGGGTCGAGTCGTGCGAGAAGGCCACTGAGTAAACACAACCGCTACAGCCTTCAAACCGGTCATCCTTTATACCCATTGCCTCAGGTCCTGTTCTCCCTTCCTGCGCTGGCCTCCCGGAGGCGACGTCTTGGCGGGATGCCATAGTCACGTAACTTTCGCCCCACGATGATCATTACCTTCTGACGTAGACGTGGTTGGCCTTCAACCTCATCGTCCCTCTTCAAGGAGAGAATCCTTCGTGTTACTTATAACAGCAGGGTCCTAGGCATACAGCTAAAGGGAGAACATAATTCTGGTCCTTTAAAAAGCCAAGACTTGCATGAATAGCTTTATTGTGGGTCTCTGAAAGCTGTCCCTCGGGCTTAGCCTATCATTAAATTGCTCCAAGATTCGGTAGATAGTATGATTCAAAGTAGAGTAACGTCCATCCACACGTAACGGAAAAAACCACAGATACTTTGAATTCAATACAATAGAAAACTTGCGTGCGTCTTTTTTCTAGCAATGTCTTTCTCTATCGCTATGCTAAGGCAACTCCTAAACTTCTGCGATCTAAGCAATACAAAAATTACGCTCGCATAAACGCCCTCCCGCTAATGCGCGAGGAGCCTGTCTTTATAGCGAAAGCGAGCCTTGCCTAATATAGGGCCACCACACAGCATTTACTAACGTTGTAGCCTCTCCAACACCCTTATCTAAGCCTAGGAATCTAATAGCATTGCTAAGAATTTATAGTTCACTGCAGGGCTACGAGTAGCCCTCTGTTTATACGGAGTCTTACCCCCTGTCGGTACTTCCACGCTCGACCAACCAATTAAAGCGATTGCTGATTTTCGTTAAGGTTACTATGCATGTCCCTCGCACACACTATATCTTACTTAGCCAACAGGCAGCTGCATATAGGAATTTTCGGCCTAGCTCAAGCGTCGTAAGTAGTACGCTGGCACACGTGACCAAGATATTGTCAGAGAGCTCACTGATTGGGCTTCAGCCTATCATATACGGAGCTTAGTGCCTGCTCCTACGTGCTATACTTGAGGAGACGCCTTAGACGCTGTTAGCGCTGGCATGAATCGGTAGTGGGCTTGCTGAGCGAGTAGATGGCTGCGTACCACGACAATCACCAACGATAGGCTCCATTTGGGGTGATCGCTGCGTGGCAAAGTTGGTGGTAGTAGCAGTGGTTGGTGAGGCGGATCGGGCATGTACCGATAGCCGTCCGAGGCACATGACCGTCCAGCACGGTAACGCCAACACCGACAAGCTACGAGATCGCCCGGCTTGGTAACGGAACATAGCGGATGAGTCGTTAAATGACCGCAACAGACAAGGTAAAGAGCAAGGAACTCTGTAGTCTGCATTATAAGAAGAACCGAAGCAACAATTGTGGAAGAACTCACTTTGTGATTTGACATCAACACTGCAAAAATGTCTGTCCAAGATCATGCTCCTTTATCGCAGAGAGCTGTGCCCCATATGAATCGTCTCTCTGGCACCCACGTCCTCATATTTGGCGGCTCTTCTGGCATTGGATTTGCAATTGCCAACATGGCACTGTCGAACGGAGCTACTGTTATCATCTCTGGATCCCAGCAAGCAAAGATCGAAGACAAGGTTCATCTTCTTCGATCTCTGTATCCATCTCTTCCTTCAGAAAACGTCTCTGGCTATGCGGTCGACTTGATGGATTCCGAAAACCTCAATTCGAATCTGAGAACGATGTTCGAGACGGTTACATCGAACGGCAGCAAAAAGTTGGATCATATCGCATTCACGGCAGGAGACCACCATTCGACACCCAAGCTCTCAGACATCACCCTTGAGCAAGCCATGCTTGGCTCCAAAATCCGACTTATCGCGCCCTTGTTTATCGCCAAACTCATCAGCACCGGAGCGTACATGCATCTTACGTCCAACTCATCCTTTACGCTCACTGGAGGAATCGGAACTACAAAGCCTTTGCCTGGATGGCTAATGCCGACAGTGTGGGGAGCATCTGTGGAAGGACTATCGCGTGGGCTTGCAGTCGACCTTGCGCCGCTTCGGGTGAACATCGTCCAACCTGGCGCAATCGAGACAGAAATGCTGCAAGGATTGTTGGCCCCGATGCCGATAGAGGCAAAGGAAGGCATGAAGAAGCAACTCAATCTACTGGGCACTTTTGGTCAACCAGAAGACATTGCTGAAGCGTATGGCTGGATTATGAAGGATCGCTTTGTGACGGGCACTGAAATAGCTGTGGATGGTGGACAGATGCTTTTAAGCAAATAGCTAGGAACAACGTCTATTGTATTGTTAGCAAGTATCATCCCTTCTCTGAATTATTGTGATGGGCTAAGGCCCTAAGTTAAGCTCCAGTTCTGGGCGAACACAGCTTGGAAAAATTGTATTGCATCGGTCATATCCAAATCGCTTTGTCTCTACCGATCGAATTAACGACGTTGTTTCCATTGCAGTCAGGCTAGGTTTGTGCTACCAGTTCTACAGGTATATACATTCTTTTCTCAGATCGGCGTATATAGCCCGAACCATCTCACTAGTCACGTTAAGAGTAGATAAAGCGACTCTAAAGTTTTAAGCAAACGAATTCATAGGTGTATGCTGAGCCTGTGCAGATTTAGTACAAATTTAAACAAAAGAATTTTATTCGTTCGTATAGAACGAGACATGTATAACTCTACCTAACCCTGCCTAATTTACTAGCGTACACCGTGTGGGGCGAACAAGACCCGTTACTGTGTGGGGCATTTTAATGTTCGGCAGGTATAATGGTTAAACTGTAATATTATCCTTAGTATTCCGCTGCTGAGTAAGGTGATAGCCGCGCGCTTCTGATGGATATGTTATATTGACGAGCTCTGGATTATTCATTCGTAAGCCCTGTACCCGTACTAACTAGTACTGACCTCTTTGATTCTAAACTCTAGACTAGTATGGATTAATTAAGCTCTCTGATTAGACTTGCGCGACGAATTCTTGAGGAGGTAAAGAAAGTAGAAGATAGTAATATTGATAAAGAATTGACTAGAGTGTTACACGGGGTTGGGTGCTGATACTTCTCTAAGCTCGATCCGGATTAGGGCGAGTGAGATGGTGTGAGGAGCCCCGTGAGAGTTTGTCTGGCGATGCAGTGGAGTGGTGTGCTTGGATAGAAGGTAACAAAGGTTTGACAACTACTAATCTATATCGAATAGACTAACGAGTAACAATCTTGTTAAGTAAAGTAACTAGTAAGAAAGTACAATTTGAGTTGACTACAACGAGAGTAATAACGAAATCTATTCATCCTTATATCCTCATTGCTTCTAGTCCTGCCATCCCGGATGGCCAGCCTTGGCGGGATGGCGCATCACGTGACCTTAGGCCCCGCAATGCCCTCTTGTCTTCTGACGTGGACGTGGTTGGTCCTTAACCTCGTCATTCCCCGTCAATGAGAGAATTCTTCTTGTTACTTGTAACAGATATTCCTAAAGCTTTAAGAAAATATTTAAAAATAAAGTTTAAGTGTATTATAGATATAGATAGCTATTAAAAGTAGCTATTTTATGCTAGGATTTTATATACGTGAAAAAAACCAAGGCATCAACGCTTTGAGAGATAATTCCAACTCGCGATTATGTACCAATCTTCAAGTAATTATGGTACATACGACCATTGGAAACTGAGAGCTAGCCATCCCGTCCGATCTGGCATATATAAGCAGTTTACCGGCGGATTAGTAGTTAGGTGGGTGACCACTAGCGAATCCCCGCTGTCGTATGTTTTTGTGTTTTTTCTTATTTTTGCCCGTGTCACGTGATAAATCTTAGCACTACCTCCACTAGAGTATAGTATAAAATAATAACGCGATGATTCCGCGATAGTTTAGTTCCTTAATATATATGTATTGGTGGGGAATGATTATTTAGCATATAAATGACTATCTGTAACGATATGTCTTTAACGAAGTCTAACGCTCGACGATGTACTGCGTAGTGTTGAGTATTCAAGTGTCACGGTATAGAATGCAGCTTAGGCGCTGCACAGGGTATTTCTTGCATCACTGTTGTGAACTATCCTCACATTATGCCCCACAGAACACCGTAACTCATACACTCAACACCCAAGCAGTCTAAAACTTCTGCAAAACCTCTAGCGTATCTTGTGGTGATTTAATACTGTCTATCTACTACTCTTATTATACTAGTTCATAGAAAAGCAATCGTCTAGCTTCTAGTATATTTATCGGTATAGACACTATTTTAGAACAACTAACTTTTAGTCTAGTGGCTTAAACAGAATCTTTTGATATTAAGGAAAACGCGTTTTTGTTGTTGTTACGATGCACCCATAGAAGCACACATAGCGATTGAGTGGTGGCTTCCTTAGCGGCACTCCTTCTATTTTTGTTCGCAACCTAACCGGGCTACTTCATATGGACCATGCAGCATGCCATACAACAAAGGCTAAGGATCCCGCATCTACTATAGTCTTTAGTATACTGGAAAAGGAATACAAGAGCAAACGAAGTATAACCAACCCCTCCTAATGACCAAATCCTCAAGCTCCGCTCATCCAGATTAGGAACTGGAAAAAAAGACAAGACGCATCCTAGACGTATTTTCGACTACCTACAGTGCTTATGAAAGTTTCCTGTGTGCAGTGCTATTTCAGACCGCACATGCCAAGGCGCTTTGTGTGCAGTGAAGAGTGTTTGGTGAATTGGGCCGCTCCTGCCATCTTATATTGGGCGTTTGTTTACACAGCAACGCCATTGTTGCATTCATTGAACAGCTGCTCCATTCCTTCCACATTTACACCTCAACTAAACAACATCATAGACAACATCTGGACAGAGGCAAGTTTTTTTTCTCAATACATGACTCGCATCCCGCTGCAGCCATGCTAACATATCTAGATAGACAGAGATTTGAACAAATACGAGCTTTGTGGGAAACGGCGCGTTCGGATGAAGAAAATACAGTAGATATGGTAAGCTGGAGGGACAAATCAGCGCCTCAGCAGCCGGTGAGCGCGGAACTGCACGAGAATGGCGCGCGCAAGTTTCGGAGAAAGCTCAGTTACGGCCTCTCTCTAATATCGAATCCTCTCTCTCAACGAAAGATCATCCCGGGACGCAATCAAGGTGACACCAATTCATTGACTGTCACTGAGCCCTCCACAACTGACGCCATCATTGCGGCCTCTGCATGCGATCACCCGGCTTTACTAGCGCGCGAATCAACGTCTCTCACAAACTTTCATGACTTGAAAAAAGGTCTAGTAGGACAAGCGGATGTTGATACCTCGCCCCAGGGTGATGATGCCGATATCACCCCCAAGCCACTTCCTCGCTCGCGCACGTTGGGCTTCATCCCACTCTCGGTCGGCACTGAGCCTGATACACTAGCGACAGGTATCAAAGAATCCATCAAGCTTTGCTCTTCGGCAGTGATTCCGATATCTGAGCTAGATTCAGTGCCTTCAAAGATTCCCTCACCAAGTCCTCCGTTGTTCAAACATCGTTGCGCTAGTCCACGCCGATATCTTCACCACCATACATCCTTCAATGCATCACAACAAACCAAATACGTTGCTGCAGCTCAAGCCTTAGCCAGCCCCAACAAACGATCACCTGCAAGAATCTCACAACCGTTACGGTCACGAACAACACCAAACCTTATGAAGGGATCGAACGCGCGACAGACTGCAGGGTTCATGGCTCCTAGGCAACCAGGACCCAAGAAACCCAATGTATCCCAAAGACCCGAGAAGCCAGTACTACAGGAAAACGTCCCTATCGAAAAGCGCATTAATAACAGGCGGCCACAAACACAAGAGAGTATGCTGAAGCGTGAATCGCTTGCAGTCGCGGGAGCTCTATACGATAGGAGGTCTTTTGGACCAAACACTCCAATTATGCAGGGCAGAAGGACAAGCTTTGTAACTCCACCAACTACAAGCAAACAAACGAGCCCCCATCTTACTCAAAACACTCCAGTCACTGCGAAGAGAATTCGATGTGAGGGGCAGACCGCACGGCCACCACCAAGCTGCCTTACTATGAAGCCGGATCTAGCCTCAATGCCTTCATTTCCAGACACCTCGACAAAGAAGATATCACATAGGGTTCGTTCCTCAAAGCCCAATATGCTACGATCTTATACACAGGCAGATTTGTCGAGGAAAACACTAGATACGCCGAATGGCTTGGGTGGCGTTTGGCAGCCGTCTCGTACGCTTGCTGTGGTAAATCACGAGGTGAGCAAACTTTCACGCTGCAATACCTTCCATCATCTTGGAACTCAGCCGGAAGTTGCTCCGACAGTGCCTCTTCTGCCACTGCACCACAAAAAGCTATCCCTGTCAGAGATAACGCAGCATTTACGTATGAGTCGAGATACGCCCGCCACGCCTCGCCACGGAAGAATAGTATCCGATAATTTTCCATGCCAGTCAATACCCGAAGAGAACGGCGAAGAGGTGTCAAGCCAGGGCTATACAAGTATGCCACTTGAGGTTGCAAGAGCCTCTGCTCCGTCAGAGACACCCAGTTCATCAACCTTCAGTCTTACGATATTTCCCTCGTTACCAGATACACCTCAACCTTCAGTCATGGGAACACTCCCTGAATTGGGAACAACAACGAGATCTTCCCAAGAAACTTCTCGCGAGACTTTAGGAGATGTTCGGGGAGAAGAGACGCCGGAAGATGCTGACAATAGTGTTTTCCAGGTCAAAGATTACATGCCGCCGCTGTATTGGGCTGGGAGATTTCAGTCTCGGTATGACCAGTGGCGTACTGAAGCTATGATTGCGGAATTGAATACTCAGCCGGGCCAGCGAGGAGAGGACCCGTTGAGCGAATACAGGCTCGACCAGGGAAACCTTGCCGCGTGTCATATCTTCGCGCAGCTGCGTGCTCTATGTACCACTGATCAAGCAGTAGATAGTCTTTGGGTCTGTGATGTGTCCTGTTTCTTTAGATATCCACTAACTAATTAATTGTAGGAGTTCGAGTACAAGTATCGAAAGGATCACAGGCTGCTTGGCAATCAAGCTGATCTCCCAACAAGAGCCCCGCCTAAGCAAAGCGATAGCGAAACTGCCCTAGAGACTGGAGCTGGTACTCTTGAACGAGCTTTAAGAAAACTGACTCCCCGCAAGAGTAGCCTTGTCAATCTCATGAAAGGCAAAGGATGGAACAAATCGGATGAGATGAAGGAGGATGATACGTTGGAGGAAGATCGGGAGACATATTCGAGGAAGCCCTAGACCTTTACTCATGCCCACGAGCATATCGAGGGTAAAATGGACTTTCAGCTCTCAATGATTGAATTGGCATTCATTGAGAAACAGTATCTACATAAAGTTACATTGGACAAGGCGATGTGACACAGCCAAGAGTATTGAAGACATTGCTTGTGGAATTCTGCAGTGAAGCGGCAGTGCAGCTTTAGGGGATGATGAGCCCGGAGCTTAATGAGTACGTAGCGAGGGCATATCAATAACGTATGGCCAGATGAAATGTAATCAGAATAGATCACATGAATTCTGCAACTGCTATTCCTTCTTCTCACTCGGCTTGGGTGATAGCTCTTCAACAATATTGTTTGGATCTTTCCACGCCAAGGCAACATACTTGGTATGGCTTCCTCGAGCAAAGATCTCGCCTTTGCTGTTGCTGAAGTTGATTGATGTAAAGGCTAATGTTTTGCCGACTTTATTTTTTGTTAGTAAGAAGAATTTGATGGCCGCCCAATATATAGATACATACACTTGTCGCATGATACTTCGGCCTTGATCAAGTCTCCGACCTTGCCGCCCGAGGAGAGGTAAGTCACATTCAGGTCAGTCGAGACGCCGGTTGCGAAGAGACCGCGAGATGCTACGGCGAGAGAGCCACCGAGATCAACTGCAATGTATTAGAACAGACGAGATCGAGCTAGAACTACTCAAAAGTACCCATGCTGGCAATTGTTCCTCCATGGAGAATGCTTAACCGGTTCTGGGAGGTGCAGATTAGCAGATGATACAACATGACATTCTCGTATGACAGCAAACAAAAGTAGATGATAAGCTTCGGTAATAATGTATATGAGATTTGTATGACACGAAGAGATAGAATACTCACTGTGTGCTCCTTCTTTATGTCCAGCTCAAACTTGACGCGTCCCGGGACTGCCGACGTCACTCGAAGCTAATGAAGCAATTGGTAATGAGCCTTGTTCATTCAGTCAAATTGAATCCCAGAGTAGACTTACCCCGTCCAGAAGCCTTGGAAACAGTTAGGTCAATGATGTCGATATACTATCTAATCGTGGGGGTGTACCTTGGCTCCAGACCCGAGTTGGCTCGGAATGATTCCCAAACCTATTCCATTGGTCAATGGCCATGATTTTAGTATTTCTCATTGCATATATCACTCACGGATCGTACAAACTTCAGCGCCGTCATAATCACAGTCTTGCTTCTTGGTGTGCGAAGAGTGATGTAGTTGGGTCCCGCTCGGCAGTTGGCTAGGTATCTCGGAAGCTAGACAGGGGTGGAGCGGAATTGTGGGGGAGCATCTTTCCGCTCACTGGGCGCGCGCGTCACCTCACTTTCTTTGAACAACCAGCGACTTTCGACTTTCGACTCAAACAGGCTGCAGCCGGCGCAACACACGCGTCTTGCCCGCCTCTCTCCCTCCTGCTCATTGCAGTATCCGAACATGATAATACGGCGGTAAAACAACGTTAATTCTTCTCCACATCCACCAAGATGTCGGCCTCGTCCTCTGCTCAGGCGTTGGAATACCTTGAGGGTCTCCCGCTGGCCACACACAAGAAGCTGTATGAGCAGCCTTCGACAGTCCTCGCGGTATTCCGCTGCATGCTACCGCATCTTGGTAAGTAAAGACAAATCGAGTAGTGCTTGCAGAGCTAACAAGAGTCTCAGCCAAGTCAATAGTCATGGCTATGCTCTACATGCCCACTCCCTTCCCCGCCGCCGACCTTGATACCTGGTTCAAACCCACTGCACGCAAAGAGAAAGAGCGGGCGACCTTTACCCTCGACCGTCTGCATATTATTACCTCAGCGCGACAGGACAACGGCACTCTGTCGTGGACACTCAATCCAGGCTTCCAACGCAGCCTCCGAAACGCCATCGAGGGCTCTGGTACTCATCGATCTTTTGGAGTACCGGCGACAAAAGAAGAGAGTGGAAAGCGCGTCAGTATTGAGTTCTTGGACGAGTATTCGAGGTCGCAATGGGAGGGCATATTGTACTACCTTGTAAGCGGTGCGGCCGGTCTCAGCAAAGACAGCATTTCTAGAGCTGAGGTTGGTCCTGGCACCAAGAAGCTATTACATACTGGAGATCTGGTGCGCACGATACATGGTAGTCCAAGAATCACAAAAGATGGCTTCTCTTTCGTGCTACAAGAGACGAATGCGCAGGTTTGGAGTCTGCTGATTGTCTATTTGAAGATGACGAACGAGGTAAGCATGAATATACAGATTTTGACTGATACTATTTAACACTATTACAGCTCGGCATGTCTGAGACCGAAGTTCTCTCATTCCTCTTCATGCTTGGCTCGCTTGAATTGGGACAAGATTACTCTACCTCCACCCTCTCGGCAACCCAGCTCCAAATGCTCGAGGATCTCTCTGCAATGGGTCTTGTATACCGCTCCGACAGGAATGCACGAACTTTTTACCCCACCCGGTTAGCTACAACGCTCACATCAGACTCTGGCAGTGCCATGTCGGCCTCCTCCAACGATATTGCACAAGCAAGCACAAGCACCACCGGACCTCCAACCGCAGCAAATAAGGGCTTCATAATCATCGAAACCAACTACCGCCTCTATGCCTACACCAACAGTCTGATCCAAATCGCCATTCTCTCTCTCTTCACCAAACTTCAGCATCGCTTTCCCAACCTCGTCTCGGGAAAACTAACAAAGGAGTCCGTGCACAAAGCCGTCCAGGCAGGCATTACATCAGCACAAATTATCTCCTACCTAACCACCTATGCCCACCCGCAGATGCAAAAAACCGTTCCCTACATCCCGCCAACCGTCATGGATCAAATTCGTCTCTGGGAATATGAGGGCGAGCGTGTCGAAACGACAACGGGTTACTTGATGCGCGAGTTTGGTTCGGACGCAGAGTATAGAGATGTTTTGAACTATGCTAGTGCTTTGGGGGTGCTAGTCTGGCAGAATGACGCTAATAGGTGCTTTTTTGTCAGCCATGTCGAACAGATTAGCGCGTATTTAAGGAAGAAGAAGGAAAACAGAGAGAATGCTAGGGGTCGATAAGGGAATGGAAAGACATATATGGCGTTGTATCGTTGGCTCTCTGTATAGATGATCCCATTAACATTAATGCGTTCTCTTATGGGCGGTTGGGGAAAATAAGTGGTTATTAGCACAAATGATAGACAACATTTGAATTTGTGATCTTGGTATCTCTCTTCTCTCTTTTCTCAAACGTTCCCAATCTCACATCTATAGTCCCTTTTGATAGAGTATGAAGAAAAAGAAGATCGCGACGAAAAAAACAACACATTATTACGCCATACAGATGCAAAGAACATAATCAGTTCTCCAAGTTCGTACGTTTTCTTGTCGATTGAGGGGAAAAAAGGAGAGAAAAACACAGAATTGTTTCGACCCCGCAAAATGCAACGCGATAAAACTACACCTCTCCGTCTTGGATAAAATCTTACTATTCCTCCTCATCTTCGCCCTCGAAATCCTCTGCTACTTCTGTAGGGATAAGCACGTTCTCAGGCCTATCATCGTCTTCCTCGTCATGCACCGGATGGCTGGCGCCATTCACGCCCGCCTCGCCCATCTGCACTTCCGGCGCCGTACTCGGCATAACGCCGCCATTCGCCTTGATAGCTTCGATCTTTGCTTTCGTCATTTCATACACGTACTTACCCAAATGCTCTACATCCTGCATCTGAGCCTCGCCGGGGATGGTAGTAGCGGCGGAGTCGACATGACGCTGCGTCTCGCCGAACATTTCGTCGGTGACGAGTTCGAGTTTGTCGGGCCGCTGAAGGAGAATGTCGAAGGCGGGTTTGAGCTCGAAGACGGACTCGAAGACAGAGCGGCGGCCGAGGATGTAGAGGCCTAGGCGAGCGCGGGAGAGCGCGACGGTGAGACGTCGAATGGAGCGGAGGTAGCCTATTGAGCGGGTGCGGACAAGAGAGAGGATGATGTCTGTTTTGAAGGGCACATGTTAGTGAGGCTCCTGATAAGTTTAGAACAAAGGGTGTAAGAACTTACAGTCGTTTTGCTCGCCCTGGTATTTGTCCACCGTAGCTACTATCCTCGGGCGCCCGAACAGTGGGTTGTTCTTACACTTGTGGCCTAGGACATCGTTGATCAAACTCTTTTGGCCAGCATACGTGGTGAGAATCGATATCTTGTTCGCGGGGTACCCAAGCAATCGCATGTACATGTACAAAGCGACCGCATATTCGGCTTCACCCAAGTTGATCATCCAGTGTGGTGTGGGCTGCTCTTCTCCTTTACCCTTGTAGTCTTGCACATCGATGAACTGGTACTCGTGCTTGAAGCCTGGGTTCGCGATTTGGAACTCAGAGTTGGAGACAACAGAAGGCAGGTTAGAGAGCGAAGGATAACGCCATTTGTAGAGCTCGGCGATGGACGCGCGGGCGCGACCTTGTTGGTCAAGCATAATGGTCGGTACGCCTAAGCGGACAAGCCGTTGGAAGAGCGACTGTTCCAGGTTGGCATATTGGCGGAATGCGAGATTTTGAATGACGGGAGAGTTTTGAAGATGATCACCACAGAGGACTATACGTTGCAATGGAAGTTCGCCATTCTGTGGATTTTGCAATGCGAGCGGGATGAAGTTCTCAATTTCTGTTATTTGAGCAGCTTCCTCCATGATGACATTGTCGTAGTGGAACCCTAGCGATGCGATTTCTTGTCTTCGCATGGCAGCGTGTGTCGATGTCATTGCAATGATGCGGGCTTCCTTGACAAGCAGGTAGTTCGCCTTGTCTCGCGGGTTTCGCAGAAGCTCAAACGGACGAATGTCCTCGAGCTCTGCAAAGATCTTCTGGACATGGCGATAGCAGCCCTGTGCAATATCAAGAATCTGTTGACGGTCTACTGCAGGGGGGAAGAGAGGTTGTGGTGCATTTGAGAAGTAATCTTTGAATGGGAACTCAGTGATTATCTGCTCAACACTCGTTTCCCCGGATGTGACACTATCCCAGTACTGCGTCCACGCTGGTTTCACATAGACAAGATTGAAGTAATCTGCAGTCTCGCATGAGCTACCGTGGGCACCCGGTGCACCAAAGTTTTTGGCTAGACGGTCAACTTCAGACAAATAGTATTGTCCTCTCTCAAGGAACGACTCCACTCGTCCGTGCTTGCTGTAGCTTGCATCCGTCTCGAGGTCCTCTTCACCATGACCCAACCGCAATAGGTGACGCTCGTCGATATCAAGCGCCACAATCTTCTGGAATAGCTGATTAAGCGCCTGGTTGCTGTGTGCAACAAGCAAGGTCCGCTGGTCCGGGAAGTTGTGATATATATTGGATATAATCTGGGTCGCGACGTCCGTCTTGCCGGTGCCTGGTGGTCCGAGCACCACTGTTAGTCCCGGCTGAGTTCCCGAAGTGATGGCATCAACTTGGGCAGGTGTGAATCGGACTTTGTTCAGCTTTGGCGCATCTGCAGGATATGGACCCATGTTCGGTGGCTTGTACGAGGATACGCGAACCAATTCCTGCACAGGTTGTGCAACCTCAGCCTGGTCCCGGCGCCGCTTTTTTGACGCTCGTGGTGGTGCATCCTCTGGTTCCGCTGCAACAGGAAACTCTAAAAGATATGGGGGCTCGACAGGTGCATGTGCTTCCTCGTTAGGTTCAACGGATTTGCCGGGAAATGATTGAACCAGGTGCTCCCAGTCCAAAAAGGTATCGCGAAAGTCAATCTTATTTAGCCGATTAGGGAGTCGCTTGTAGGATGCAGATGAAGGATCTCCATAGCCCAAAAAGACCTCCTGCAGCCAAGATGGTGCTGGGATATCCGAGAGGGTTAGGCGCTTGATTGACTCTAGGATCGGCAAAAAATTGTTCTCACGTCCTTTTCGGCGAACAATGAGGTTGATTTGCTCGTAGACGTTGGGCGCTCCTTTGGCTGTTTGTTCCATATCGGCGTAGTACTGCTTCGCATCGATGTTGACAAGGAGCCGTCGTTGCCTTGCCCTTGGTCCAAAGCCATCGTCACGGGCTTGTTCTCTTAATGGTCGTCCCTTGTCGTCCAAAACTTGAACCACCTGGGCACATCTCATCCGACGCAGACCAATCTCTTCTCCACTGCCGACATCCGCATGATGACCGTTTCGCATGGGTACGTCGTCTTTTCCCTCAACAGCAAGGAGAAAGACTACATCATCTGGTCGGAGCTGTTCCCAGTCCCGACGTACTGGATACTGAAGCCGACTGACATCAAGTATGATCTCTGCTCGAACATAGGCGGGATGCTCTTCTCCGACTCTTGATGGTGCCACATCGACGATGGCAGGCTTCATGATGGGCAGTGACATTTTTGATACACCGGTGAACTTGGTGTTGACGCCTCTGCCTTTTGGTTTGACGCGTTTTACGACGTCCTCCATGTCTTTGCGAATACCGTAGAACGACTCGGCCCGGTACAAAATAAATGATCTCCACAAGAAATCGCCCATGGTCAGGTACTGGAGGTTCAGCTTTGGAATGGCAAGTGGTCGTGAGCCGTCGTAGGATTCGTTTCGCAAAAGCGTAGTTTCGTAAAGAATCTTTTCTGTTGGTAGTACTGACATATCGCGGATTGTGTCTTTGAAAGTCGGGCGTTGCTCGACGAGCATGATTAGGGTCTCCATGTAGAAAGCGCGATCCCGCACCAAGTACGTCGTCGTGGGATACTCTGTTCGTAGACCCATGAGCGAGCAAAGTTCAACAAGCTCTTCGTCACTCAGTGTACGCAGGTGGCCATCCAGCTCTTCCCTGTTTCCAATGCTCTTGTAGTTTGCCAGTGCCATAAGTTGGAGTTTTTCTTGGAATGTAGCGTAGCCCGTCCGTTGCAACTTGGACAAAAGGTCATAATGCTGCTGATCATACTCGAGTTTCGACAGTTGTCTGCCAGTCTGGTCCTCGATGGAGAAGTTGGTGAAGTGGCTGAGCAGGTCAAATAGATCGCGGAACAGGCCATTGTCCTCATCGGCGTACATGGGCGACAATCGGATAGCCGAGAGCATGTTGAGGTCCTTGAGTAGAGTGTTGACATATCTCCTTGTAGGCAACTGGCTCTGCAAGTCTATTAGCAGCTCCATGAAGCGCTCACAGTAGGCCATATTGTCCCTCATGTCTTGGCTATTGCTACTGTTGTATAAACGGTCAATGAAGTCCAGAAGGAGGGTGTAAAGCCACGAGCGCTCAAAGCGTAGGCGAGCCTGTAGGGCATCGTCTCCAGCGTCGTAGCGCTTCGATGCAGCCCTCCAAGCCTTGCGTAGCATGCTGTGCTGCTCGAAGTGATGTTCGCGCACAGCATCTGAATGCAGGTTCTGCCATATGGATATGCAAACTAGTGGAGCGCACTCTTTTCGCACCAGGCCACTGTCGAGTGATTGGAAGGCGCCGATGACAAAGGATATGAGTTGTGTACGGATCTTGCTTGGCTGCGAGGGGTCGACGGTCATGGACAAGATGCGACGGAAGAAGGATGAGAATTCGGCGGGCTTAGTTGAGAAGTGTTCTGTTCAGTGTCAGCGCAGTCCCTTTAGTAGCCAGCAACAACGGCGCAACGTACCCCAAGACGACAGGTTCTCCCTCCTCTTAACATTGACCATAAGGGCCAGGAGCAGATGATGGTAGTTTGATACATCCTCTGTAAATCCAGGCCACAGATAGCGCTCCAACAGCTGCAGATTCTCGAGAATCAAGAGCGACGAGTATGCAAAGTCGGCGCTCTCCAGCTGGTCCCAGAGCTCCTTTTTGACGACTTCGGGGCGCACTTTGGGCGTCTTTTTTGCGGCCAGCCAATTCTTCCTCGCGACTTGCGCGAAGTGGTTCTCGCCGTGCAGGTCGGCGACAGTTGGGCGGGCATGTAGGCTGGCTAGGTCGGCCGCATGCGCAGCGGACGCGCCTGGGGAGGTAGTGGAAGACATGGCGTCGCCCGTCGGGGTAACGTCGTCCATGTGGTCTGGCTTCATGGCCATCGTCGCGGTACAGAGAGGGTGTCGGCGCAAGTGAAGGGGGGCGCGCGCATTGTCGACGCACGAGGTTTGGCGAATGGCGTGGTGACGCGCCAAGAAGTAAAGTTTCTGGAGTGGATGGCGTTGCGGAAGCTCCAACGACTACCGGCCCGCAGTGCCAAGCCTTACATCCAACCTCACTCGCCCAGCCCGCAACAAGCACGCCCTCGGCCGCAGTGCATATCAACACCACAATGACCAACGCAGACGAGGCAGTCAGGCACCAGGCTGTCGTGCCGGACAAGCTCCCCACCGGAGAGTACCCTGTGAGTCAATTGCGCCCTCGGCTGCCCTGCAATGGCTCGCACCAACTAACGCCAACAGCTCATCGACAATGACCCGTACGCCTTTATTGTCCTC